TCTTGGATATTAAATTGGAACCTACAAACTACACTGAAGAAATGCCTCTCTACTAGTACATGATGATATTTATGGCACACGGACATTCATTTCTTCGTATTGCATAACTGAATATTTGTGTAATTTTCTCCATACACCCAACCTAAGAGAAATGTTAGCCAACATTTTTCTTTTTTAGTGTTACATATTGTGGGGAAGGGTCAGAATCCCCGTCTGCTTTTATTTCTGTTTTTCAGTTGGGGGAGATTACCCCACGACAATGCTCCTGCACACGATGCATTGCCCAGAAATTGATGCTTTACCTTGAACAACCACCTTATTCCTCAGACTTAGCACTCATGCGACGTCTGTCTGTTTCCAAATTAACCCACTCGGATTCCTTCCCTTCCATTCCACTTTACTGTTTTTAACAAACTTTTACTACACAACACTCATAAAATAACTTCCAACATCAATCTATTTCCGAGCTGTTTGAACATTTGTTAAATCAAATTAGGTAGGTCACAATTTTAAAACGAAAAGCTTATTCTTTTTTTTTTTTTTATCTCAAAATATTTTTTTTTTTTACCTTTTTTTTTTTTTTTTTGCCACTGTAAAATACTTTTATATACCTCTTCATTTTTAAATCTTGGCACACGAGCACTTCAATAAAAATTAAATTAAATTATAGCTTAAAAAAAAAAAATAGGTCTTACTGACAGAATTGAATGTAATAATAATATTTTATATGAGTGAAGAAAAGTTGGAAAATTAAGACTTTTAAAAAGGGAAAATTATATTTGTTTTGACCTTTTTTGTGTATTATTTCAATTGAAGACATGATATTTTGATTTTCTTACCGCTTTATAAAGTTTTTTTCCTTTCTTTTTTAATATTTTGATTTGCTTACCACTCTATAAAGGTTTTTTTCCCTTTCTTTTTGAATATTTTGATTTTATTACCGCTCTATAAAGGTTTTTTTCCTTTCTTTTTGAATATTTAGATTTTATTACCACTCTATAAAGGTTTTTTCCTTTTTAATATTTTTATTTTATTACCACTCTATAAAGGTTTTTTTTCCTTTCCTTTTTAATATTTTGATTTTTTTACCGCTCTTAAATTACCGCTCTATAAAGGTTTTTTTTTTTCCTTTCCTTTTGGAATATTTTGATTTTCTTACCGCTCTTTTTAATATTTTTTATTTTCTTACCACTCTATAAGGTTTTTTCCTTTCTTTAATATTTTTTTTCCTTTCTTTTGGAATATTTTGATTTTCTTACCGCTCTATAAAGGTTTTTTTTCCTTTCCTTTTGAATATTTTATTTTCTTACCGCTCTATAAAGGTTTTTTCCTTTCTTTAATATTTTGATTTTATTACCGCTCTATAAAGGTTTTTTTCCTTTCTTTTGGAATATTTTGATTTTATTACCAGTCTATAAAGGTTTTTTTCCTTTCTTTTTTAATATTTTGATTTTCTTACTGCTCTATAAAGGTTTTTTTTTTTCCATTCTTTTTGAATATTTTGATTTTCTTACCACTCTATAAAGTTTTTTTTTTTTCCTTTCTTTTTGAATATTTTAATTTTCTTACCACTCTATAAAAGTTTATTTCTTTCTTTTTGAATATTTTGATTTTCTTACCACTCTATAAAAGTTTTTTTCTTTTTGAATATTTTGATTTTCTTACCACTCTATAAAAGTTTTTTTCTTTCTTTTTTTAATTTTTTTTTTTTTTTTTAACACAAAAAGCACCCTGAAACCCAGCATCACGTCTGGTTCTGAAATGACTAAAAACAGCACGATGTGTACATAGACCATGAACTCTGCCTTTGTAGCTTATGTTGAATGGCGCAGCGCTCATTTCCGACACCCATGCGCGTTCCTTTGTGGAAACGTCTCTTCTTATCCTGTACTCAGTTTTGAATATTTAATAAATATATATATTTTTTTTCCTTAAGAGCTTTCTTGTTTTCAAAGACTTGCTAAAAAAAAAGTGTTCTAAGACATTCCAGTATGAAGGCGATTCCGAAGTCTTCTAGTGAATTATTTTGGGGGAAAAAGAAGGTTCCCTTTGCCGCAAGGACTCAAAAGGGCTTAAGATGCAGGTCACGCAACCCCATAAAGTGCAATTCTGAAACCCCGAGCGCTCAACATTTCCAACTTGGCTCCTTGGTGGAGAGAACACCCTTTGGGCGCAATGTCTCGTCCGAAGGTTCCAGGTCGACTTTTCAAGCTTCAGACCAAGGAAAACTCCGCTTGGAAACTGGAACATCTCCTCGTCTTTGGACTGCATTTGGTCAACATGGAAATTTGGGTGCTGAAGTTGGTTCCGTTGCTGCCTTGCGATGGGTGGTGATACTTCATATCTTTTCCCATGAACCTCTCCAGGTTCCACCGTCTCCATTTCCTTTTTAATTCAGCTTGAACCTATGATATGAAAAAAGACAAAAAAGGTAAAAAAACTAGTTATTATCAGCCAACGGTGTTGTTGCATAAGACTTCTCGACGTTTCTGCACTTTTCTTGGATTAAAAGGAGGTATACACTCACCGGCCACTTTATTAGGGCCACATCGTTCAATGGTTTGGTAACAGAAATTGCTAATCAGCCAATCACATGGCAGCAACTATCAATTACCAATATCTCTGCACACTCCCTCCCAACTATAACAATAGCTCCTACACCCTAAAAGAAAAGTAAAAACTTTCACCCTTGAAAGTGAGCGTAATTATAACTAGACTCTTCTTTGTGACAAAATAAATCTATCCCAATCTTAACATAAACTAATACATAGAGAAATTAGAAAATAATAAAAATAAAATTAATAAAATAAATGTCCCACAAGATAAATGTCTAATATTGTCTCTGTAATATAGTGTCTTTCCAACCTCCAAATCGAATCGTGTCACTCTAACTACTTGCCAACTGCAGATAGCCGAATGACGGCTACACTGCGGATGGCCAGTTCTGGGAAGGCGTCATATGACGTCCTCCCAGAACACGCTCTCCTGCGCGCCCACAGGGGCGCGCACCCGGCGATCTCCATGATCGCTGTATCCCACGGACACAGCTGATCACGTGATGTGGTAAAAGGCCAATCACAGCGGCCTTTTACCACGTGATCAGCCGTGTCCAATGACACGCTGATCACCGTGAAATGCAATTGCCGGTTCTCGGCTGCACTTTCCTCACGCTGTCAGATCGTGAGGAAAGTACTGCCGAGAACCGACAGTTGTCAGAGCGGGGATCGGCACCGATCATCAGGGCACTGATGATCAGTGCCCTGATGATCGGTGCCCAGCAGTGCCACCCACCAGTTCTGCCCACCTGTGCCCAGCAGTGCACCCTCCTGTGCCCAGCAGTGCACCCTCCTGTGCCACCCAGCAGTGCCACACACCTGTGCCCAGAAGTGCCACCTACCTGTGCCCACCAGTGCCACCCACCAGTGCCCATCAGTGCCCACCAGTGCCACCCACCAGTGCCCATCAGTGCAGCCCAGCAGTGCTGCCAGTCAGTGCCCAGTGGTTGTGCCAGTCAGTGCCCAGCAGTTGCGCCAGTAAATTCCCAGCAGTGCGCCAGTCAGTGCCCAGCAGTGATGCCAGTCAGTGCCGCCTATCCGTGACACCTCAATAGTGGTGCCTATCAGTGCCGCCTATCCGTGCCACCTTATTAGTGCTGCCTATCAGTGCTGCCTATCAGTGCCCATCATCAGTGCTGCCTCATCAACGCACATCAGTGAAGGAGAAAAATTACCTGTTTGAAAAATATTATATTAGAAACAAAGAAACTTTTTTTTTTTTTCAAATTTTTTGCACTTTTTTTTGTTTATAGCGCAAGAAGTAAAGTGCCCAGTGGTGATTAAATACCACCAAAAGAAATCTCTATTTGTGAGAAAAAATAATAATAAAAATTTCATATGGGTACAGTGTTGCATGACCGCGCAATTGTCAATCAAAGTTCGACAGCGCTGAAAGCTGAAAATTGGCCTGGTAAAGAAGGGGGTATAAGTGCCCGGTAGGCGAGGGGTTGAAAAACTTCTGTTTAGCTGCGTTTGCATAACGCGTTTATGCGCGTTCAGAAGCGATTTTTAACCACCTCCCAACCAGCTGTTGTATATAAACGGCCGGACGGTGGCACTGCAGGGTCAGGTTGCTGTTTATAAAAACGGCCTCCCCGCCCCCTGCTTCTGCGCGCTCCCTGGACACACCGATCGTTGTACGGGACCTCTGTGCGAGGTCCAGATCATGTGATCCCTGATTGGCCGATCAGTGATCACATGAAGAGTAGTAAACAAGCTGTCACTTCTGACATCATTGCTTACTACTTGTGAAATCTGTGAATGATCACAGAGGTCACATGGTACAGGGCTATTCACGACAGCCTTGTATCATGTGACAAGCTGTGACCAATCACAGCTCACAGTAGTTTTCTCAATGGCTGCAAGAATGCAGCCAGAGAGAGGGAGAAATGATTGCTTTTACAGCCTTTATGGGTGTAAAAGCAATCAATGTAAAAAAAAAAAAAAAATAAATCTTCATCACCCCCCACAAGTAGTAGGGTGCTAGGGTGACAGTATGTAAAAAAAAAAAAAAACAAAAAACATAAATATCAAAAAATAAAATAAAAATGTAAAAAAAAATGTTTAAAAATTATAATTTTTGGTTATAAACTAATTTGGGTTATTTTTTTTTTTACTAAAAAGATAACGGAATAAGTTTTGGTCAAGATTTATGATGAAATATTATTTATTTGCAAAACTTTATAAGAAAAACACTTTTTTCTAAATTTTTGGACTTTTTCATTTACATAGCAAAAAAAATAAAAATCCCAGCAGTGAATAAATACCACCAAAATAAAGTTTTATCTGTCTCACAAAAATGCAAAAAAAATTCATATGGGTACAGTGTTGCATGACGCACTTGTCATTCAAAGTGTGATAGCGCTGAAAGCTGAAAATTGGCCTGGGGGGGGAAGGGGGGAAAGTGTCCGGACTGGAAGGGGTTAAAAGGAGGTATACACTCAC